TTTATCGATGTTCTTAGTTTAACATATTCTACGACTTTTGTTTAGATTGCTAAGGCTAAAAAGTCTTCTATCGTAAATTCACTATTTACGTCTCCAGGTGCCGTGGCGGTTTTGTCGTAAAACTTCGGCGGGCCATAACTTCTTCGTTATAACTCGGATTTTGGCGTTCTTTATGTGTACGGAAATCTTGAGACATATTCCACAACTTGGTTAAGATTATTTATTCTAAATAATCTTTTGTTGAAAAGTCATTTTCGACCCCTATTGCCTCTAAATTGACTAGCCCGGATCTGCGGGCGTTACATATGCTGAATTTGTATCTCCTTTGATCTAACTAATGCCATCCTCAATAATTTGAAGTAAAACCTCACAAATCGGACTAATCATTTTTATTAAGCTTGAAACCGATTTCAAGTGAAAACCCCATCTGGTATCCCGACCCGTTGTAAAATACCAATCTGATTGAGGCCTCTACCAGTCTCCAACTATCCAATAGATTTAAAATATGCCATTTTTTGTCTTGTGCATATCTTAGTTGGTCGGAGCGCTTGGAAGAAGCACCAACGCCATTGATAATAAAAGATAATTTAGTAAAAACCATGTGTACCACAATAACACGTGAAGCGGCCATTAATGCCATTGCAATCGATGAGCAAAAAATGAACATAATATACAAATGGACAATCCTTTTGAAGTCAATGCTTGTAAACCTTTGAAATGACCTCGCATATTGCTTGCACCGTCATACCCTTGGCTACAAGTCGACTTAAAATCAAGATTGCTATTTTTCAATAGAAAATATATTCTATTCTATAGAGTTTGTGATGTAGTGTCTCAAAATGACGCCAATAATGATTCCACTTTATTTATTCTATTCTATAGAGTTTGTGATGTAGTGTCGCATATTGCTTGCACCGCCATACCCTTTGAAATGACACTCAATAATGACACCACTTAATTTATGAATCTCAAAACAATAGACGTTTGTTCTCTGTTAGACTCTGCTTGTTGTCGAGTACAACAAAATTAATAACTCTAAATCTTCTACACTAAAACCGTTTATAGTGGTAAAGGGATCGTATCCACGGAGATTGGTTCAATTTAAATCTCTATGTAAATCACTTGTTTAAGTACTTGTAAAACAAGAGTAAAAGTAAAATAAGGGGTTTAAATCTTTTTGATTGTTTGAGAAAATTAAAACTAAGCTAGAATGTAAATATGAAAAGTAAACAAATAGATGATTTGATTAAGTTCAATGAATTAAATTTGGTTGACTTTAGAATACACCATATGAATGACTTAGTTGACTTATCATTAGACAAAATGGAACAACACTTGTGAATTAATTTAACTTGGTTATAGCAATTCATAAGCACAAATTAGTTCAACTCTTCTTTGTTATTAAAATGATTAGAGGAGCTCTTCACACATTCCCTTAATTAAAGTCACAAAGCCAATGAAGCATATAATCTTGTGAAAATCAGTTAGCTTTAGGTTTTAAGAGTTACCAAGTCCAAAAGATAATCAAATGCTTACATTATCATTATGTAGGAAAAATTTTCGCGGTTTAAATGAAAACAAACATAGAAACCATTTGTTGCTTACCAATTTGAATGTTCATTAGTTAACCAAGAAACTAGCAAAAAAAATAAGCATTCATTCATCCAAGCTCATGATCAAAGATAAAAAAAACACAATAAGATATTTGGCTAGAAAACATTTTTGTAAATTTTAAACACACGATAGCATTAAGTATTCCAAACAACCAATCATCCATGGGCTAAACCCTAATTAACCAAAAATAAGTCTAGCCAAGCATGGCCAAAATGAAAGAAATTCAAAGCAGTTTAGGGGTACCAAACATAGTTCAAGGTGCAAAGATGAAAGAAAAATACTACAATCCTCAAATTCTTCAAAACCCTTTTGAACGCAAAAAAGGATTGTTCCTCAATGTGTTCTTCTCTTATTTTCTTCAAAATTTCTGGTAAAAAGTCTTGAAATTTTGGATCCATAAGCTGGCCAAAAGCACCCCACCAAATTTCCCCAAATAGAGGTTCATGTTAAAAATATAGATTCTTCACAGCACGATCCATGAGGAGAATTTGTGGTTCCACACGGACCGCATTGGGTCTCACTGAATGGGATCCTTGGCCCATTTAATTAGCATACTAGCCCACTCTTCTCATCAATGACTCAGCCCATTTGTGCAAGTTCTTGAGAGCCCAATTATGCCTTCCAAAGTCTTCATAGATGCTCCAATGTTGCTTTAATCTTGTATAGCTTGAAATATCTTCACCTCATCATTATTCTCGTCCAAAAATTAAGTCCAACTCGCTTTCTTGTTCATGTTGACACCAAGCTCAATTACACCACTTTAATTCCACAAGCAAACTGCAAGCCTCCAAAGGTCCTGCACTCCTTCCATACCTCCATGCCAAATAGTCTTCGGTAAATCCTACAATTAAGCTCAAAAGACTAGAAAATATCAAATAAAGGTGGAAAAAAAAAAAAGGAATAATATGCATAAATACTGACTAAAATGAGATGGAATGAATTAAAAATAAACTAGGAAAAGAAGCAATAAAATGAAGCTATCAAATCACCCCAAGCTTAAACCTTACTTGTCCCCAAGTAAGACAAGACTAAAATGAAATTGGGATGAACTATCCTATGAAAAAAAATCACCAACATCTGCATTTACATCATACATCCTTGTGTTTTTATGGTTTTCTCACTTTTCTTGCTATGCCTACAGAATACAACTGCAAACCAATTGGTAACATTGAGAGGAGGAGGAGATGCTAATGGTGTTATGAACAAGTGCTTGGATAAGTGTAACATCCCAAAAATCCGTACCAAAATTTTTTCTTTAAATCATTATCAAAGCCATATTCATAAAAACATATCATAAGTCATAACATAAATTCAGAGTATTAATTCCAAAACATATTTCATTATCAGAGTAAAACATCACAGGCTGACTAATCAATAGTGTGTGCCATGCGATCACCCCGAGCTCTTCCTTTCGCTACCGGAAGTACCTGAAACAAAAAATGAAAACCATAAGCACGAAGCTTAGTGTGTTCCCCAACCTTCCACATACCCTGCACATACACATACAACATATATTGGGCTATGCCCGCTATTTCGGACCTCGCCCCTACCTCGGGTACCACCCGCTACAACGGCCCCGCCCCTCTAGGCCCTGCCTGGCTTCGAGCCCCGCTCGGATACAAATCTGTTTCTTTTAGGCCCTGCCCGTTAACCACATATAGTACAAAATAGCATATAACACATAAATGAACATACCTAATGCATTCTTGTCCTTAGGCATCGCCTATATTGGGCCTCGCCCCTGTCCTATCACTAGTGAGTCATGGAACCCCGTCCAAGCTCCTATGGTAAGTGAGATACGGGCCCACACCCATACTCACTCCATGCCTATCTCGGGCCTCACCCATGCTCTGCTACTAATGAGATATGGAACACCATCCATACTCTGCTATTGGTGAGATACGGGACCTCGCCCACACTCACCTTCCTGTCAGGCACATACATGCATCACACAGACAACAAGTATACTCTATCATGCAAGCCATTCCTTGGGCACCCGCCCGTCATTGGACCTTGGTCTGGAATATCATACTAGCAAACAGTACCTAGGGCTAACCCCCGGGTCTTCCTACTCATAACTACATGGGCCGGCATTATGGCCGTAGACCCATTCACACAAATGGAAACTTACTTGCACTGCTGAACTTGTTGATAACCCTCTGGCTGCTGACCAACAATTCTCTGAACCGCTGCTCCACTAGCTCCCCGAGCTACCAATATCAATACATATATCACTTAGTTCCAACTGAACTCCAGAAGCCAAACTAAGTCAACTCTGGTCAAAGGCAATCTTTCTGGCTGACTCTACTCGCCGAGTCAGCCCTTTGACTCGTCGAGTACATATACTCAGAACTCTAATAATGCGACCCAACTCGCTGAGTCACCCCAAGACTCATCGAGTTCAACAATCTCTGAGTCCCATCCTGTCAAACTCACTGGGTCATCATTCAACTCACTGATTTGAGCCTTAACCAGAAGGGGTTAGTGTTTCGCAACCTGACTCGCCGAGTCCAAGAACAGACTCGTCGATTCCATGACAATCTTTAACAGACTCGCCGAGTTGTTCTTCCAACTCGTCGAGTTCATGCCCATCTTCATCCAACTCGCCGAGTCCACCCATGTGACTCACCGAGTCGCTTCAGTTCTTAATCCACACAGTGGCTTTTCGAGCTATGCAGGGGCTCCAACTCATAGATCCACTCTTCCCAAGTCTATTCCTCACGTAAAGTTGCAAACCTTACGTGAAACCAAAGAGATATAGGCTTAAAACACTCTAGGGCTAGGGTTTGTGACAAAGGGGATTCACCAACAACTTATTGGCATAAACTTTATGGCTTTCTGGATCCTTAATAGCCTAAATCTGAGGTAGCAATCTCAAATCTACTCCAAACTCGAAATAAACCTCCTCCATGATCAAAATGCCCAAATCTCAATCATAAGATAGATCTAAATGCAATAAGGTCAGCTTATTACCTCAAGGGATATGTAAAGTCACACCAACTTTGTATCCAAGGCTTCCTCTTGCACCACTATGAACCTCCTTCCCTTCCAAGCTTCAAATCACTTCACCAAGGCTAGAACTAGCTCAAAGTGGATATGGTGGCTAGGGTTCGGTATTCTAGGTGAGAGAGACTGAATATGAACCCTAGGGAAGAGAATGAGATGTTTAAATAGGGCCCAAGCCCCAAAATTAGGGTTTCCCAATCCAGACCGGACTCATCGAGTCCACTCTCCGACTTGTCGAGTCGGTCACTTACTCTTCAACTCGGATCCCGCTTGGAATCGTCGAGTTCTACCCTGGACTCGACGAGTTGACCCCTTTGACCTAGCGTTTTTCCTTTCCTTTCTTGGTGTTTCTGATTAAGGGTGTTACAATAAGGAGTGGCATGCTCTCCTTATATTCAAAACAAGCCTTCAAGACCCAAATCTCGTTCTATCCACATGGAAAGCTGAAGAAGATGATTGCTGTGAGTAAGATGGAGTCATCTGTGACAGCCAAACAAGTCATCATGTCACAGATCTTTATATGGACCGCGCTGGTCTTGTAGGTGAGATTAGCCATTCATTGGTTAATTTAAGCTACTTGAATAGTCTTGATCTTTCCTAAAATTCTTTTCATGGAACCATTCCCATGTTCATTGGTTCCTTGACTGAATTAAGGTACCTTGACCTCTCAGGTAACTCTTTTTCTGGAACCATTCCTCCATAGTTTGGAAACCTCACAAAATTGCAGCGTCTTTCCCTTCAAGATGTTGGAAGATGTACAGTTGAAAACCCACAGTGGTTGTCTTCTTTATCTCACTTAAAGGAACTTGGAATGGATGGGATTTCCCTTGCCAAAGCAAACGAGTGGGTAAATGTTATTTCAACTCTCCCAGAACTATCATCGTTAAGTTTAAAGGGATGTGAGCTGTCACAGGTCATGTATCCATATTCTTCTTCATTTCTCAACTCTTCTTCTTCATCTATTGAACACCTTTATCTTGGAAACAACAGTCTCACCTCATCCATGTATCATTGGCTATTCCCATTAACCAGCAATAAGCTTCATGTTCTTGATCTCTCAGGGAACATGTTATATGGGATACCTAAATATCTTGGTAACTTCTGTAGTTTGGAAACTTTGTACTCCGATAACAACTTTGCTGTTGTCAAAGCTCCTGATTTTCTTAACAACTTGTCGCCTGGATGCTCATTGCTAACATTTCAAGACTTGGCTATTCAAAGAAGCCAATTTACAAGGTCAATGTATGATGAGATCCAAAAAAATTCATCCCTATCGTTTATGGATCTATCAGATAATTAAATAAATGGAGACCTAAGCGAGAAATTGTGGGAACTACCTTTGCTTGAAAAAATTGACCTTTCTCAAAATCATCTTAGTGGTACCATCTCTAAAAACATTGGAAAGTTGAAGGCTCTTTATATAAATCTTTCAAAAAATTCCACTCCAATGAGTTCCTTCCACAGATCATATGTCAAACCTTTCTTATGTAAAGCATATTGATCTGCTTTCTTGCAAGCTAGGGCCTCACTTCCCCATATGGATTCAAAAATTGGAAAATCTTACCCGTCTTGATATTTCCATTACTAGTATTTCAGACACAGTTCCTCCAGAGTTTTCGAAAATGACATTCGACTATTTAAATCTTTCTTCCAACAATATCAGTGGGAAAATACCAGATTTATCATCAAGTCTTGGATACACACCAACGATAGATTTGAGTTCCAACCACTCTGATAGTCCAATCCCGCACCTTCCTTCTAGTTTGACATCATTAAACCTTTCCAGAAACAAATTCTCTGGAGGTATCTCCTTCTTATGCCAAATTGTCGACGGGTTATTGGAATTTCTTGACATCTCCTATAACTCTCTAACCGGACAACTTCCTGACTGTTTGTGGCAGTTCAATCAACTAAAAGTTCTTACTCTAGGACACAACAATCTATCTGGAAGGCTTCCTCCCTCTATTAGATCTTTGATAGAACTGGAGGTGTTGTATTTGTACTAGAACAATTTCTCTGGAGAATTGCCTTTGTCTCTATTGAATTGTATGAAGTTAAACTTCTTAGATTTGGGGGCAAACAGATTTTTTCGTAGTGTGCCTATTTGGATTGGGGAAAACTTATGTGGGTTGTATTTTCTTATTCTAAGATCAAACAACTTCTTTGGAACCATCCCTTTACAAGTATGTTAATTACCGAATCTTTAAATTTTAGACGTTTCAAGGAACAATCTCCATGGAATCATCACCTCATGTTTGAGTAATCTTACAAGAATGGCACAAGAAGGATTCTTACTGCCTCCAAACGTGCATCCTTATGCATTTCTATTTGCAAACTTGGCACATTTTAATCTTCCATATCCTAATGAAGAGGAGTATGTTGACTATGCGATGATCGAGTGGCAAGGAGACGAGCGTGAATTCACCCGTAATCTCGTATTGTTGAAGAGCATTGACCTCTCAAGCAACAATTTAACAGGAAACATCCCACATGAACTCACCAATCTTCATGAACCGCTTGTCCTCAACTTGTCAAAAAATGTTGTGCTTTGAGAGATTCCACAGAAAAATGGTTAGATGAAAAAGCTTTTAACATTGGATATATCTAGAAATAATCTATCAGGAGGGATACCATCAAGCATGTCTCAGATGACTTTTTTGGGTTACCTAAATGTGTCATCTAATAACTTGTTAGGTAGAATCCCATCTAGCACTCAACTCCAATCGTTTCAACCTTCAAGCTACGATGGAAATGCAGGACTGTGTGGACCTCCTATTTTCAAAAAATGTACAGGAGATGAAGAATCACAAAGTTGTTTTTAAAAGTGAGGGTGATTAAGATTGGAGATGGTTCTATATCGGTGGGGTTTCTGGTTTTGTTACTGGCATTTGGATAGCATGTGGAACTCTACTTCTCAACCACCGTGGGAGACGTGCATTTTTTCACTTTTATGATAGCTTCAGGGATTGGGTTTATCAGGAGGTGGTGGTGTTCATTACAAAATTGCAGAGGATTGCACGTATTTGATTGTCTATATTTAATTATTGTTTCCTTTTTTGTATGTGTGCTTCATAAACCTATTAGTGTTCTTAGTTCGGACTAGAGGTATGGTAATTTCTGCGCCGGGCATACGCCTCGCTTTGCCTCGAGGCTTACGCTTCGTGAGGCGAAGGGAAAACACCTGGAGGCGCGAATCCGTTCTTTTTAACTTTGGTGAGATCATGTTTCAGTTGTAACTAGTTGAGTTTTAAGTCCCTCTTATCAATAAAAATGCCACGAACACCATGGGTGACAATTTCCTATTGTGTGGAATGAGTCATTTTGAAAATATCATTATTTCAGCATTTAGTTATTATTATTATTTATTTTTTTCTTTAAACTAATTCTCAATATAGGTTCTTTCCAAAATTAGCACTTGAAAGATGATTTATCAATCCTTATATACTTGTTACTATCAGGCTTCTTTTTGTGGGATATTTAAAAAATTGGAGAAGTCCCTTTGACACTTTATTTAGTCTAAGGATATATATATATATATATATATATATATATATATATATATATATATGAAATCTAAGTTTAGGGTTTCAACTGAGTATCTTTTCGATGCAAACTGCAATCTACAATACCCACTCTAAATTAGATTTACGTAAACACAGGTCAAAAGTTAAGTTATAACATGTTTGTAGTGCCTTATATTTCAATGTCTGTTAAGTTATAACATGTTTGTAGTGCCCTATATTTCAATGTCTACTAGTTGTGATACTCATGTATTACATGAGTTAATTTAAAAAAAAAAGTTAAATATAAAAGTCAAAATATTTGAGAACTTTGAATTTATAAGAAAATAAGAAAAATAATAAATTATTATAATGGAAATGTTTTTTATCTTTTAAATTTAAACAAATAATTTAAATAAATAAAAGAAACTAATGAGCTTTAATTTTGATAATTTTGAAATTAAAGGGTATGTTTATTAATGAAATTGATATAAATTTATTACTATATTTATTGCAATTATTACATTAAAATACTATGTTGAATTTAATAAAATAGAAAACTTATAAAATGACATGTTGAAAAAAAATTAATTCAAAATAACTATAAAATGATATTTGGCAATTGAATGAGAGTGTGACATTTGCACTATCTTTAAATGTCATGTGGGCTCTTTATTTGTTTAATTATGATGGCTCTGCCATAATAGGGTGCCGTAGTCCTATTTATCGATTTAGATTAACTGCATTGGTCATTAGCATAGATATTGTTTGTGACTACTGTAACGCCCGGGTTTCAGGGCTAAGCATTTCTTGTCGATATAATAGTCTAGGTCAACTATTGTAACTCTTTTTGAAGTAATAAATATAAAATATTTGAGTATTATGTGAATTATGTGTGTTTATGTGTTTATTATTTAATTATAAATGTATAATTAATAAAGAATAAAAATGAGCGTCAAAATTAAAGTGTGAGATAATCCCGATATCTCTACATAAAATTGTAGAATACGTCTCAAGGTTTCCGTACATATAAAGAATGCCGAAATCCGAGCTATAACGAAGAAGTTATGGCCCGCCGAAGTTTTACGGCAAAACCGGCACGGCACCGGGAGACGTAAATAGTGAATTTACGATAGAAGACTTTTTAGCCTTAGCAATCTAAACAAAAGTCGTAGAATATGTTAAACTAAGAACATCGATAAAAAGAACGCCCAAATCTGACTTCGTATGAAGAAGTTATGATTTTTCTAAGATTCGGCTTAGCAGTGCACGGCCCGAAACTCGAATTTTAGTTCGAGCGGTTTTTGGCTTATGCGACCTAAATGAGAGTTGAAGATCTCATTCATAGGAACTCAACGGTAAAAAGACAGACGAAAACGGAGTCCGTATGAAGGAGTTATGAACTCTTCGCGGTCATTTAACAGTCTAAACTCCTCCTACTATTAAATTTGAGATCGGTCGAGAATTAGCCGACGGGGTCTAAACAAAAGTTGTAGATCTTGATTTTACCTATGCGTGGATATAAAGAACGTCGAAAACGGAGCTTGTATGCGAAAGTTATGATTTTTCTAAGTTTGAAGGCTGATACGCGATAGGGGGCGACGTGGCACCACCAGAATTGGACACGTGGCACCACCAGAAGGCCACCACATGGACTGAACTCGACGAGTCATGACTCAGACTCGACGAGTCCACCCAATTCCTCCCCTATAAATAGAGGTGCCGGGTTCCCTCATTTCCTCACCCCTCACCCCTCTTCTTTCTCTCTCTAATCTCTCTCTCTAAGCTCCCTAACCCCCCTAAAAGCCTAGGTAAACCCCCTAGCACCCGAAGGAAGCCCCGAGGCTCTCGGAGTCCCAAGAAAAGAGCCTTTCGGCTCAAGAACGCTGCTCCAGCGAAGCCCGGTGTTGCGAAAAACCCGCTGTAAGTGAGCTATGCCTACGCTATCTTTAGTATAGCTTAAGTTTTAATATAGTAACATTATTAGGAAGTTATAATGAGTATTTGGGCTATTATTATGAGTTATATTGAGTGTTATTTAACGCTTATATAATAATAATAATAGTCAGACTATTAATTAGTCACGGTTATCGTTAGACTAAACCCTAGTGGTATTGATACTAGGTTTTATCGAAGGAATATCATTTTGAGAGTAGCGAAGCGCTGTCCGAGTGCTGAGTCACCACCTAATCAGGTGAGTGCATAGTTACCTTCAACTTACACATAGATATGAAGTATTTTATATAAATTACGTGCTACGTGTGCATATTATCTGAATACTTGCTATCTATGCTAGATAAACGTTGTTATACATGTTTTCAATGATTTAAACTGTATATGTATTTTATATCTACGAAAATGTTGGGGTAAAACATGGGTAGATGTAATAGGTGATGTGTGATAAAATGATGAGAGGCCTCGATGTTGTTGTTGTTAATCCAATCATCTAGCGGAGTATAGACGACGACCACGGACTCTTCTAGACAGTCTAGTGGAACACTAGCAGGCTCGCAACCTGTAGGTGTTGTGAACGATGTGTTCACCGGTGTACTCCATCCCCCACATGGTTGCCTATTAGGACATTTATTGCTGAGGAATCCCCTTAGCAGTAGTGTCCATCCCGATGATGATCCTTAGGCTAGGTCCCTTATGATAGGTGTTTAGGGACGTAAAGTGAGGATAACGGGAATGGGTAATCGGGTTATTGTTGATTGATGAAATTAATAAACTTATTTATTGTGGGTTGAAAACCCTATGTGCTCACCAGGCTCCCAAGCCTGACCCACTCAGTTTTATGTATTACAGGTAGTGGCGCATGAGCATAGGTGTGATGTTTTGGACGAGGGATTACGGATATAGGCCTGTAGATATGAAATAATGTAGTAAGGCTTATATTGTACTGTTTATACTTTTGATCTGTACGAACATGACATCCCGAGTCTTTTAATGAATACATTTCTATGGAAATGCTTTTGATAAATCTTTATCATATTATTGTTTTGGGACAAATTCCGCAAACCTTTTATTAAAAGATAACTCTGATTTTGAAATAAAGTATAAACAAAACCGGTCTTTTCTGGCCGTGATTTTGGGGATGTCACAGTTGGTATCAGAGCATTAGTTTAAGCGAACTAGGAATTTGTAGGATTTCTAGACTTAAACTTAGAATGCTAAGCGATGATTGTGAGGTGTGGTGTGGCCTGCTTAACTTTCAGTTCAAAAGGTAAAAAGTTTTAGCTTGACAAAATCATGATTTGTAATATATCAGTTTGTTTGATTCTATGCAATTCATAGACTAATGGAATTATGTTAGTGTTTCATTCAAGCCTTTCTTTATTAATAATTATGTTATCCAATTGTCTTATAATTTCAGTTTATTTTTGACCAGGTGCTCTACTAGGCATATGTGAGGCATGTATACATACCAATGGAATCAAGTTCCTTGGTTTCTCCTTAATTAAAAACTTCTTTATTTGCATTTATTTATAAAAAAGTTAACATGGTACGGACTGCTTGATTAAGAACTGGTTGTTGGGTTGTACTATAGAGCCCATTTAGTAATAGTATTTAGATTATAAATTAAAAAACATTCCACCTGAAAATTATAATTAATTTGTAAATTTTCACTTGATCTTGCAGTTTTAAGATTCCCAGAAGCTAGTGTAAGGTTTTTAATCAAAGTTTTAATTGTAACAACAAAGTAAACCATGTAAACTCATTTACCCTCTATGACAATTGTATCAATCATGGTCTTTAGCAGAAAATCTTAGAACTAGACCTTGCAAAATACAACACGACACGACAACCCGACACGATATGAAATTAGTGGGTATGGGTAAGAGATTTCGACACGTTTAAGTAAATGTTTTGATACTAAAGGACACGAAAATTAAACAACTAGAGTTAGCATCAAGACTTTCAACTCGAGTATGACCTGGTTAATTATATATAATTTTTTGTAATTTCATGTTTTTTAAATAAATTATATATTATAAACATATAGTGGCTGAACTCAAGAATTAAAATTAAAATTCAAAAATACCAAGTGACTT